GAGGCTCCTCCCGAAGGGGCAGGTGGTGGGTGTCAGGGCCCTTCATTGGGCAAGGGGCAACAGGTGAATTGGCACAGAGGGGTGCAGTGCCTGCAGTTAACATGCCCAAGCCTATTGAAGGATCTCATAATGCAGTGACCCTAGCCTCCTTTCATGATGCCCCTACTGCTTCCCATTTCTTAACTCTGCAGCATTTCCTCCCTCTCTTGTCTTCCCTCCCCTGGCCTGCCACTCCCTGCTCTGCCACAGCTCTTCATGGCTTACCACCACCAATGACATCAGTAAAAAAGCACTGTCTCTCCACACCCTTGCACGATCAAGCTTCTGAAATGAGGAGGTCCTCAGTCACTATCACTGGCTCCTTATCTTCCCTCACTCCTCAGCCTACCATGCAGTGGCTTCCTCCCCACCCAACATTGCCAATGACCCAGCACTAACTCCTACCCCTGCTTCACTTCTTGGCAATACTGGACAACCTTTTTCTGGAAGTGCATTCTTGGCTCTCCCTGTGGTCTTGTGTCTGGGAGATACTTCTCAGCCTCCTTCGCCAGTCCCTCCACCTGTGCTTCATCTCTAGCTGGCAAAGTCCCTCAAGGCTCAGTTCTCTCCCTTCTTTTCATGCCACATACTCTCAAAAGCCACCTCATCTGTCCTTGCAGCCTCTAGGACTTCCTGTCCATAGGGAACTCCTAAATATCAGCGAAGGCTGCAGAGCAGCATAGTAACCATGGCTTGGGAATTGGACCAGGCCTGAGTTCCAGGCCTGGATGTTCCACTTCCCAGCAGATGGCAGTTGGGCAAAGTTGAAAATTGAGATAAGAGCTCTGCATAGAAAGGGCTTAGGACAATCCCCAGTCCTCAGGCAGCCACTCACCACAGCTTGACAACTACACTGAGTCCATCAGGAGAGCTGTCTTCTCCTCTCTGGCTGAGGAGAGTCTCTGAACCACTTGGCCTCCTGCTGCTGTCACCCTCCAGCTGGGAGGTGCTGGCACAAGGGACTTAATAACCATCTCTAGGACCTGTCTCTTTGCCTGTATAATGGGAATATTGAGTTCTTGTTGGAGGTTTATATGTCCTTGAAAACATTCAGCACAGGGCCTGGCATGGTGCAAGCCTCAGAAAATGCTTCCCCTCATCTGAGCTTGCTGCCTCCAGCTCTTCCTCCTTTCCTACCTCCATGGTGGTCCTGATCTTTCTGACACATGAATCTCTTCTGCAGTGGACAGTTGCTGTTTGCTGCCACCATTCAGGACACCCCATTCAGCCCTCCCCCGGAACGTCCCCATCCATTGTGTAGCCCATGTGTGTCCAGGGAAGTGGCCCCCATGGAGCCAGCCCTGATGGGGAATTAACAACCACCCCCCTCACACTAGCCAAAATGACTGTACACACAAGCCAGTTCTGACCAATGAGATGACAGTGTTTATTTGCTGGGGGCATCTGAGACAGAAGCTACACTACAGAGAGAGAAGGTGCTTCCCTGACAGTGAATGAGGAATTCCATGGAAGCTGCAGATACTGGAGAATGCAGAGGGAGGCAGGAAGAAACTGGGTATCTGGTGAAATCATCATCTGCTGCCGATACTGCTGTACTTTTCGGTTTCATAAGCCAATAAATTTCCTTTACTGATTAAAGCAATTTCCTTTATTGTTAAATCAATTATTAAATACCCAAACTGGCCTAGCTAATATAGTTTCTTTTGGACAGAAATCAGTCTCACATTCACCTTTAGTGTTATGTAAGTTTTCAAAATAAATTTTCTGATCCAACATAATGAAAACATTGGTAAGTTTATCATCTGAGCTTCCAGACCACACATGCTCCTAATCCAGTCCCTGCTGGGTAATAATATCCTTAACTCTTGGGGAGGACCAGGGGTTTTTGTCTGCTCTTCAAAGCCTTCACCCATTGGGCCTATGTCCATCTTTCTAGCCCAGGGACCCAGTGTTCACCCCCCAAGGCCCAGGCAGGAAGGCTACCAGCAGGGAAGGTAGGTGCAGCTCTGACCACACTGACAGCAGCTCCCTTGGTGAGGGTGGAGGGGCTGGAGCGGCATCCTGCTGCACATGGCTTTCTTCCAGCTTCTACTGTCCCCCAGGGGCCCTCCACCGAGGAGCAGGTGCTTAGATGATCTCTAGTGCTCATGCAGGACAGGGTGAAGAAGGAACCAGTGCCACCCACCCCATGCTTTTGCCACCTCCCTGGCACCCCATGGTTTCCTCTCAGGCAACCAGGGGATGCACAAAGTGAAAGCCCCTGTATATAGGTGGCAGAAGAAGCATCCATCTTCCATGCTGTGGGTGAGCACTGGGTGTGGAGGCCTGGGCCCAGTTCTCTAGCTCAGACACTGCCTTTCTGAGTCACTTGTTAGGCCTAATGGGTGAGAGCCACCCACTCTCAAGAAGAGGAGACAAGCAGACAGGGTACCCCAGAGAAGATCTCTGTCACCAAGGGCCAGGACACCTCATCTCCGGGCCATGCTTGGCTATTGCTTCACTTTTGACTTCAGTTTGTTTACTGAACACAAGGGGGAGAATCACTGCAGAAACTCCCCATCCTGGGTTGGGGTAAGGATGAAGGACATTGACTCAGGTCAGAGGAGTGGCCCTCACTATATAGAGTCAATGCTTGGGGACCAAAGTGGCACAGGAACTTGCCTGAAGTTACATCGCAGAGCTAGGGCGACATTCCAACTCCTCAGTCTCCAACCTGCTTTTCCATTTGTCCAGTGCATGCTGGCTGCAGCAGCTGAAGAGGCCCAGGGCTGGCTGTCACCTGGCCTCCTGCAGAGGTTAGCTGAGGGCTATGCCAGACTGCTAGAGGTCAGGTGACAGCTGCTTCCCCTCTCAGGCTTGGGAGGGAGTCACTTGCAGGTTTATTCTTGGTGGGCTAAATGCGAAATGCTAAAGCCCATCCCTCCAAACAGCCTTCTAAGCAGCCCCCTTTTCCTCCTCACCCTGAGGTACTTCTAGAAGCTGGCTGGATTCAGATGCTGGCTCCTCACTTCATTGCTAGCTGCCTCTGCTGTGCTGTCTCATCTCTTCTGTGGATGTAGGAGCGAACCCAGGTCAAGTGCTTTGAGTGGTGCCTAGCAGGTAGCAAGAGCTGGGTACATGCCAGCTATTATTATTATTATGAGCCAAACTGCAACATGAGAACACATTAAAGCAACATGCAGCTGCCGCCTGGCCTTGGGCTCCTCCCCATACTCCAAGAATGCTATTTGGAGAACCCCTTCTCCATAGCCTCAGTCACTTCCGGGTGCAGAAAGCGGCTGGCCAAGCGTTCGATGTCATCCAGCGTCAGGCGGCTCAGGGACCTCTCATAATCCTGAGGAGAGAAGGCCAGGAAGATTCAGGGGTGCCAGTGGGGAGCGGTACATTGTGACAGAGGCAGGGGCTGGGAGCAGCTGGGACTGGAGTGGATGTCCAGGGTTGCCCTTCTCACCCTCTGCAGTTGTTCCAGGACCCTGCTGGCATCTGCTGCACTGAAGTGGCGGGCCAAGACTTTAGAGATCAGCTGCCAGACATGCGGGGGTGGGGAGTCAGCCAGTCTCCGGGCAGTGCCTTCTTCCAGTAACACCTTCTCTAGAGGTTTGACCACTAGGTTGAGCTTGGAATTGGGCCCGATGCTATAATCTGACAGACGTTTCCCATCTGCCAAAGAGAAACTGATGGGTTCCTTACTCACAGCTGCGGGGGTGGCCCAGGAAGCGATGCCTCCCTTGGGCAGTCAGAGCACAGCGCTGCGGCATCTGGCTGTGGTGGATTCAGCCACCTCTCCTAGGATTGAGTGGCACTTGGCACCATGAGCCAGCACCCCAACCCATCACACTGCAGCCTGAGTTCGGTCTGCACACCCCGGCCCACGACTTCCTGCAGGGCTCCCTGGGATTCTCCTCTCCCTGGTTACCTGCCAGGGCCTTGCCCTTGAACAGCAGCCGCTGCTGGCGCACAGGGACGTTCAGCTTCTCAGAGACCAGCTGCTTCAGCGTAGACACCAACTCGTCCTCCCGCACCTGACCGGGCGAGGGTGGGAGGCAGGGGGGTTGAGCCCGCGCCCCTGAGCGGCGAAGCCCTCACTTCCCCTCCTATGGGCAGCTTTCCCGGCCTCCGGCTGGCCCGCCCGCCCCGTCCCGGTCCTCAGCCCCTGCTCGTTCCTATGCTGGGAGCGGGTGAGTGAGCGAGCCGTGCACGGTGGCTCGGGCCTGAGAACCCTACCTGCAGGCTGCACTCGCGGCCCTGGAGCGCCTTCACCGTCAGCTGCATGGCGGCCGCGGCGGCGTCCACTAGGGCGTGCTTGCACCCCTACCGCCTCCCCCCCCTCGCACGCGCCGCCGGCGGGATTGCGCGCCTGGCCCCGCCCCGCCCGCGGCCCCGCCCCAGGAGGAGGAGTCCCTTTGGGGTCCCGCCTAGCAGACGTGCAGGGACCGCCCAGCTAACGGATCCCCAGCCAAGGCCACGGTACACGGAAGTGGCCCGTCCAAGCTGCTGGGACAGGGAGGAGAAACGAGTTGTACCAGGTTTACTTCATCTGGAAGCTGGGGCATGGGAGAAAGGACCGGAAAGTACGCTTGCCCCAGCGGACTGCCTGGCCTGCCCTAAGTTCCCAACCCACTGGTGGAGCAGGTCAACACAAACCCTGATTCTGTCTCCCAGTGTGTCTGCTAGTGGCCCAGCCCTGTCAAGCTTGCCCCACTGCCTGATGGCTTCTGCCTCCTCCTTTCCAGTCTGGCTGCAAAAAATTCAACTGAGCTTGGAAGAAGACAGCGGAGCCAGGCTTCTGTCCTTATCCTCCTACTGCTCATTTTAGAACAGAGAAGCCCACCTCTTACAGAGAGGGGATGGATGGGGTGGAGGCTGATAGAGAAAGCCTTCGCAGGGGTCACCATGCCACCCAAACTGCTCCTCCAGCCTGGCCCACACCTACCCAGCCACACTCTTCCTACCCCTCTACTCCCAGGCCCCAGAGGGCAAAGATTGGAAGGGACCCAAACTTGCTGCTTCCTTCTTTTATTGAAATATATTTTCTGGGCAGTGCCCACCTACCTAAATCAGCATGGCCTCTTTGGCATTGAAAGCTGGAGAATAAAAAATCAGTAAAAAAAATAAGCCTGGATTTTTCTGAGTGCATAGTGCATGAGAACTAAAGGCCTTTGGTACACAAGAACTGTGGGGACAGTGGGTGGAGTGTGAGGGCTGGAGGATGATGAAAGCTTGACCCAGAGGCCTCAAGGAACTGGGAACAGGCTACTATAGATGAAGTGGCCAATGACCAAGGCCAGCATCTCTGAGGTGCCGCTCAGTGCCACAATGAAGGGGGCCTGGGAGGCATAGTCAGCTTGAAGGCGGCGGAGGGACAGCTGCAGCATGGCCAAGGCCAGCAGACTGTTTTGCACCCCTACTTCGATGCTTACTGTTCGCCGCTGGGCCACTGGCAGTTTCAGGCACGTGGCCAGGCAGTGGCCCACCAAGAGGCCAACTAAGGGCACTGTGAGGCCCACCAGTACGATGGGTAGCCTGACACCTGCCAAGATGAAGACCCCCATGCGGTAGGCCAGGAAGAGGCCGCCCAGGAGGAGCACAAAGCTGAAGGGCTTGATGACCTGCAGCAGCAGCTGGGAGAACTTGGGGAGCTTGGACTTGATCACAACGCCCGCTGCTATGGGGATGGCGATGAACAGCAGAGTCCCCAGGATCTTGGAGATGGGCACATGGAGTGTTTCATGGATGCTGAGCAGGCGGCTGTAGATGGCCGAAGACAGTGGCAGGAAACCAGTGGCAGCCACTGTTGAGATGAAAGTCATGGAGATGGCCAGGGTGACATCCCCTCCAAGAAGGAGGCTGAAGAGGTAGCTCCCCCCACCACCAGGTGATGAGCAGGTGATAATGAGGCCCAGAGCCAAGGCCTTGGGCAGCATGAAGACCTTAGCCATCAGGAAAGCATAGAAGGGCATGACTAGAAACTGGCCTAGGAGGCCCAGCAGCATGGGCTGGGGGCTCTGCACGAGCCCCTTCAAAACCTCAAGTTCCACTTTGCACCCAAATGAACACTTGTTAACAAACATAAGAGGCAGGAGCAGGTAGAGTATTGGGTTCTCCGAGAAGTGGGCCAGGTTGGTGCTGAGGGTGGCACGGGTGTCTTCAGCAGGTGATACCTTGATGCAGAAATCTCTCCGCTCCTCAATCAGCATGGGCGGGGCCTCATGGGGGTCCATGAGCTGGATGTGGAGTGGGGCCAGCCCAGCCAGACCTGAGTGGATGCTAACCACAAAGCCACCCCCACTGCCCCAGCTTATGGCACTCACATTCTTGATGGTCAGCACCTCTGTGTCCAGGGATGTGACCCTCAGTGTGGGGCCGGGCCCTGTCCCATTGGCCTGGCCTGGGTACTGGCTTGAGATCACGATGATGCCCTCACTCTCCTCAGGAAACTCAAACTCCATCACAGAGCCATCCCCAATGCTCAAGTAGCGGCCTCCTGTCAGTGGCACAGTGTGGCCCAGAGCTGTGCTGAGGTTAGCACTGGCTGTCCCTTGGGCCCCCCATGGCAGGCAGATGAGCAGCAGGGCAGCTCTGAGCATGCCCAGAGGGCCTGTGCAAGCATCCCCCCTTCCCAGGCCAGGCCACTGCTGGGAACAGCCCCTGCCCCTCCTTAACACCATGACTCTTCCCAAAGGATGGATGGTGTGCCCAGGCTTTCTGCGACTTAGGAGAGTACCCCCACTGGTGCTGTTGGGCTGTCCAGGGAAGAGTCCATGGGTGGGTCCTTGTCCTGTGCTGTCTTCCTTGATGGCAGAGCTCTCCCTGAGGACATAAGGGAGTCACAGAGACACTGGTAAGGGCAAGTAGTTGCGAGCCCAGGAGCATGGAGATCTGGAAGCCCACTGCTAAAAGACTTAGCAAGTCCCCTTGCCCCAAGCTTGGGAATGGAGAGGCAATGCCTAGTGCTGACCCTTGAGTGCCATTTTTGTCTTCTCCCCTAGCACAGCCACCTCAAGCTTCCTATCCCTCGTCCAGAGGGGCCACCTAAAGATAGAAGTTCCCATTCAGCCTGCTGATACTTGCTGATTTTCCTGGGCTTGCCCACCTCACAGAAATGTCCTGATACCTAGGGATTCAGGAGAGCCATCCCCAGTCTTGTCACCACTAGCCTATTCCCCACTGGCATCGAGATGCAGCTACAGTAAGGCAGGAGCAGGTAGAGTATTGGGCAATACCACAGTGGGGATGAAATCTTCCAGAGGCTTCCCAGGGATGACCAGGACACCAGATGGATAAGAACAAATTGTGCTGATGGTTAACTTTGACTTGGGCCAGATCTGGGAGGCCTTCAGAAGGTAAGTTAGGGGGTTGAGTGTCATTTGCCAGGCACAAAGTTGCTGGCAAAGTGGTGTGGGCAGTGCGTGATCACTAGTCCCAAGGCCCCAGGGGCTGATGTCTGCCACCAACACAGAGTTGGGAACAGTGCTGTTATGGCTACTTGGACTATAGTGGTGAAACGGAGCCCTACCTGTCCTATAGTGGTGAGACGGAGGTCCTAGTGGGAAGCAGGCACCCCCTCCCCAGGGAAGTTGCCAAAAGGGGCAGCAGGAGTGAGTCAAATAGAGCCACATGTCCACTGGGGGCTTCTCCTCCTGCCAGAGCTCCCCCTTCTCTGGAAGTCTCAGAATTTGAGCTCCTAGAGCTGCTGCATCACATCTGAGAGCCTCTGCTTAGAGTCTAGAGGCTCTTCTCCATGCCCACATGTGTCCCTACCAGAGCCCCAAACTTCCAGTAGGATGATGAATGTTTCTAGGGGATTGTGGTGCCTCAGGATGAAAGGAGGAGGAGGTTTGCTTCCCCCCATTTCTCAATTTTGGCAGCCACTATCCTAGTATCACATCATCTGCTAGAAGGGCAACCAGGATGTGGACACAGCAGTTTTACATCACTACTGGTAGTTGCCTCACACCCTGTAGTCCCAGTCCTGGAAGAGGCTCCTGCCTCTTTAGAGCCTATTTAACCCTGGCCTCCCCTCATCTGAGACTGGGGAGATGGGGAAGTGGGGAGCAGCGAGCAAGGTAAGCAAAAAGCCCATCCCTGGGAAAGTCTTCCCCAGCCCCACCCCAGGACAACATGGCCTCTGCTGGCTTGGAGCTTGGGTCACTTACCCTGCAGGCCTTGGCCCAGCCAAGTGTCTTATGACTGAAGACGGAGGCAGGAAAACCAGAGTGGAGTAGGAGAGGCAAAGTGGAGGGGGAAAGATGAAGAACCAGCACTGAAGCCACTGGGGTAGTGTGAACCAGTCAGCAGGGAAAGGTTAAGGGCCACTACCTCATGCCCATCTTTTCAGTAGGGTTGGTGGCTTAGAGTCCCTGCAATAAGGGTTTAGTCCAGATACCACACCATTTTTGCTTGAGGGGTCAGAAGAGTTTGAGCAGATGCACCCAAGGCAGGGAAGGGAATCCCTGCCCAGATGCTTTTTCCACACAGGCCGAGTGTTTGGGGCACCTCCCTACCTGGGAGTCTGGAAGTTGACGGAGGGGTCACAAGCCGAGCTCGGGCCGAACCGGGAGTGAGAGAAGGAAGGGCGCGCCGCCGCCACACAGGCAGCAGGCAGGCGACCCGCTCAGGCGGTCTCAGGGTTGGCGGAGGGTGGGCCCTTCCGCCACTCTTGGGTCCCGCGGCCACACCAGGCCTCGAGAACGCACGCCGGTGGCAGCCCTTCCCTGCCGGGCCCACCAAGCCCGGGCGCCTGAGTGGGCGATCACGGAGCGGGGCTGGGGCCAGAAACTGCCTCCTGCGCGTCCCTTACCGGCCAGAGACTCCCACCTACCACCGCGGCCCCTGAGCTGGGTGCCAGCGCCTGCCCGGCCTGCAAACGCCAGCCAGCTCTGCCAGCGGGGGCCCTGCCCTGCCCGCCAAAGTCTCAGACCGCCCGGCCCAATCGAACCCCGCCCCGCCCCGCCTCGCGCCTCAGGACCCCGCCCTCCCACGGCGGCCTCTTCACCTCTGGCGGCGGTGCTGGGTTCCGACCGGATGTGACGTTCTGGGAGCGACGAGCTGGCTCGGGCGCGCGGGCCGGGCTGCTTCTTGTGTCGCAGCTGGTCAGCGCTAGGTGCTCCTTGTTCCACTCCTGAGCTGCGGATGTGAGCCATATGTCATTGTCGACGGGGCGACCCGCTCCGGGAAGGGACCCTAACCATTCCCAATTACGCTGTGACCTCTGGGGCGGTGGTACACAGAGTTAGCTGTTAGGGCTGGGACGCCCGTGGGCTGCTGCTGCAGGTCGGAGCGCGGGGTTAGAGTTATGGCCACGCTACAGCTCAGGGTGCCCAGCCCTGAGGCCCGAGAGCCGAGTCCAGTGGACCTGGACCCCAGGCTCCGTGCCGGGTTCCCCCTTTCCATCAGGCATTGGCCGAGAGCATATTTCCAAACTGTGGAACATTTAGTGAACTTGTTGATCTTCCAGAATTATTTGGCTTCACGGTAAAGGAATGGAAACAGAAGGCAGAAGGATGTAAAAAAAAAAGGTGGTGGGAGACTGTAGAAAGGAAAGTTGGAAGACAGTAAACAAGGGCAGAGTTAAAGGGATTTGTGTTCCTAAAGGTTGCTGGGGCAGTTGGAGAGAACCTCTTGTGACGACTGTGATGGAGGCCAATGGTCCACAAAGTCGGAGGTACTTGTCCCCGGGTGGTGCACAAGACACATCATTGTGGTGTGAAAAAAAACAACAACCTGTAGGCCAGGCAACATGGGGCTCAAGCTTGTAGTCCCATCCCTTTGGGAGGCTGAGGCAGGAGGATCGGTTGAGCTCAGGAGTTCAAGACCAGCCTGAGCAAGAGTGAGACCCCGTCTCTACTAAAAGTAGAAAAATTAGCTGGGCATCCTGGCGCGCTCCTGTAGTCCCAGCTACTCAGGACGCTGAAGTGGGATGATCACTTGACCCCAGGAGTTGGAGGTTGCAGTGAGCTATAATGACACTACTGCATTCTAGCCAGGGTGACAGAGAGAAACTCTGTCTTAAAAAAAAAAACAAAAAACTAGGCCGGGTGCCGGTGGTTCACGCCTGTAATCTAGCACTCTGGGAGGCTGAGGCGGGTGGAACGCTCAAGGTCAGGAGTTCGAAACCAGCCTGAGCAAGAGCGAGACCCCGTCTCTACTAAAAATACAAAGAAATTAATTGGCCAACTAAAAATATATAGAAAAAGTTAGCTGGGTATGGTGGCACATGCTTGTAGTCCCAGCTACTCAGGAGGCTGAGACAGAAGGATTGATTGAGTCCAGGAGTTTGAGGTTGCTGTGAGCTAGGCTGACACCACAGCACTCTAGCCTGGGCAACAGAATGAGACTCTCAAAAAAAAACAAAAACAAAAACAAAAAAGCTACTGGATTTCTAATTTTTCAAATTAATAATTGTAATAGTTTTAATGAATAAATTTATTTACATTTAAAACTTTTAATGTATTATAAAAGTTTGTTTTTCTGTGTGTTCTATAAAGTTCAAATTAGTACGTGCATATGACATATAAGCAAATACACACATGTTGGGGGTGCATGCTCAAAAGGATTTGATGTGTGGATGATCATAAACATTCACAGCAGGCCTGGTGTGATGGCTAATGCCTGTAATCCTAGCACTGTGAGAGGCCGAGGTGAGAGGATCACTTGAGTCCAGGAGTTCGAAGCTACAGTGAGCTATGATCATGCCACTGCACTTTACCCTGGGCAACAGAGTAAGACCTTGTCTCAAACAAAACCATTCACAGCCATAGCTCAAGGTTGTCCTTTAGCCTCCCAGGACCAGTATGACATAAGCAATTTGCGTGTTTCTACTTGGTATCCCAGAAATGTTGGAACTGCCCCTCTCAAATGAGGTTGAGGGGTCCTGATGTAAGTAGGCTGTTGTGGCCCGTTTACAGGACGGCGGATGAACACAGAACAAAAACACAGAACACAAAAAAACGTGGACACACATACAGAAGGTTGACTTGAGTAGTAATACACCAGGTCAGTTTTATTTTTATACTCTAAAAAGTTAAAGTTAGTTCCTTGTACGTAACCACCCAGGCATTTCAGCAATGGCCATAAATTCCAGAATGATTAGCCTTAGGGAAGCAGATATCCCGACTCAGAATTTCCAGGTGGTTGCTCTAGGCACTAGGCATAGATCACGGACTGAGGTTAGCAAGGATGGGCAAGGCAAGCCACAGGGGGCATTTCTCATCCCCAGCTTCTCTTAGAGTGACCCCCTAAGATCTTAGGCTGACCCCCAGTGGCTATGCATGGCTTAGGTCGCCCCTCCCTTGAGGGGTTTTACCCGTCATTGACTAACCAGCCATTTTATGGGGGTCAAGCAGCAATCAGAGGAACAATGTGTTTATCGTGTGGCCTCAAGACCCCCATTGCCGTGGGGCTGGGCAGCTCTTGCTTACTTGCAGCTCAGGTTCTTTGTTATGCTTCTAGGCAACAGCCTTGTTTATCACAAGGACTTTGTCTGGAGCACATTGCTTTTAAACGTTCTGGGCAGAACACGTACATTAATCACTAAATTTAATTATTATTATTATTTTTTTTGAGACAGAGTCTCGCTTGTTGACCAGGCCAGAGTGAGTGCCGTGGTGTCAGCCTAGCTCACAGCAACCTCAAACTCCTGGGCTCAAGTAATCCTTCTGCCTCAGCCTCCTGAGTAGCTGGGACTACAGGCATGTGCCACCATGCCTGGCTAATTTTCTATATATATTAGTTGGCCAATTAATTTCTTTCTATTTATAGTAGAGACGGGGTCTTGCTCTTGCTCAGGCTGGTTTTGAACTCCTGACCTCGAGCAATCCGCCCGCCTCAGCCTCCCAGAGTGCTAGGATTACAGGCGTGAGCCACCGCGCCCGGCTTACTAAATTTAATTCTTAAACTAGGAAAATATATGTCAGTCCCCTACAGTAGGCAGTATTTAGAGCTACGACAGGCAAGAGGGCTGGGGTGGGCACATGCTGGGGCTGAATATTGTAGTTTGGAAAATGGCAGTGGGGGTAGGGGCTGTCCTGTCTGAGGATGGGGTGAAATTGGCCAGAGGGAAAAGGGGGATGGGCTGAAAGAGCCAGGGAAGGGAAATAAAAAAGATGTGTTCCTCTTAGAGGAAACCTAATGTTTTTTTTTTTTTTTTTTTTTTTTGAGACAAGAGTTTTGCTCTGTCACCTGGGCTAGAGTACCATGGCGTCAGCTTAGCTCACAGCAACCTCAAAGTCCTGGGCTCAAGTGATTCTCCTGCCTCAGTCTCCCAAGTAGTTGGGATTACTGGTGTGAGCCACTGTGCCTGGCCAGGAAACCGAAATTTTTATATTCCAATTGCCTGTGCTTTCGGCCCTACCTGATGCTGTCAGTGAAACTCACCTGTGTAAGGCTGGTGGCAGGGGCCCCCTCCCCTCCCTAGATGGAAAAAGAAAACGCTTAGTGACCTCACCTGCCAAGGACAAACTGCCAGGCCCCACTGAGAGGAACCACACCCAGATCTCCACCTGGATTCGCTCCTGGATTCCACAATACCTCCAGCCCCTCCTATTTCTCAACGACCTTCCAAGGTCACAATAGAGAATCCCAGCTCTTCCCGCCACAAGTCCCTAGCCCCGCCCAAAGGGTATAAAAGGCCTCAGCCCCTTCAAACTGCGGCGACTTCTGGGGCCCCTGCTCTTGGGGCCCCAGAACCTTGTCCACGAGTGTATAATAAAGCCACGTGGTTTGGCCCCCCCTACTCTTTCTCTTTCTGTGTCTCTTTTCGCCACCGCCGAAAAACCTTACAACCTGGACCTGGCCACTTGGTAGCCACCAATTCCCATTGTGTGCCAGGGATCAAGCAGAGCAAATGCAATCAGAAGACCACTCTCCATTATTATCAATCACTTGAACCTTCCCTGAAAAGCCAGAGTGAGCAGGTGGATGACTGACATGAAGAATTTGGTGGCTTTGTCTGCAGCAAAAGGGAATTGCTAAATTAAAGGCCAGAGAACATTTGTAGTTGGTTTAGGAGATTAATAATTTACTCCAGAAGAGAAGGAGGAAGAGCTCTACGAATGAGGCAAGGATACCTAGTTTCAAATGAGAAGTCATCTGGACTGAGAAAACAGATGAAACAAATAAATGATAGCAACAGTGGAGACAATATAAATGTACTTCAGATGGGAGACCTGCCACTGTATTATGTAATAAGATCACAGTGGAGACCCTGAGAGGAATGCCTACTTTCTGTTCTTCATGCAGGGGCCACTAGGAATATTATGTGATAAATAAGTAGGCATATGTGAGTGTATGTACAAATATGGGGTGCACTTAGTATTTACGGGGAAGTATAGTGACAGCTATCGTTTTTGCCTGCCCAGCATCAGGTCACAGCACTTCTATTTTATTTGGGGGAACCATCCCTCCTCTGCTCTCAGTACACACGATTTGCATGTGGATGACCCTAACGCTGGTCCCTGGGGTGGGCACATGCCCAGGTGTAGCCAGTCAGAGCCACTCAGATTAGTGCGAGGATAAGCCTATAATCCACCCTGGTCCAGTAAGAATTAGTCCTCAGGAACTTGTACTGGAACTGTTGAGAATGTCATCCTAAATATCAGAGAGGGAGACGCTAAAATAAAATGATATTTATTCAGGAATACAGTACTGCAATGGGAATACATGTGCCATAGTAAACTATGTGTGTATTGAGGGAGGAAAGGAAGACAAAGGGTTTTTTTTAAAGGAAAAACGAGGAGGATCACATAATTTTTTGAGCTAATTATCCCTGGCTACAAGGATTAATAACAAGAATGTTATCAGTCCAAGTTTGGACAGACAGTTGCTGGGCAGATGTCCTCACAGAAATATTTTGTGTGTGTGTAAGGTTGTGATAGCCTTTGTGCAAGGTTGTGTTTTTTGCAGTTTTTAGTATCAGGTATTTGTGCAAGAGAACCCT